ACTCACTTGCAATAGAACAAAATAAAGCACATATTCTGTTATCTTCAAGGTACAACTGAATTAGGATTGAGTTATCCTAGAAAGCCGATTTTGGTATAATTGGTTTTGAACATGCATGATATTTATCAGATCTACATAAAACTTGATCGCAAACCGGATATGTTGATAAAATTGGGGGAACCGCGATTTCATGTCATTCCCAGAAACAAAAATTGGTTGTGACTTATTCAAATCATGCATAAACTATAGCACTTCACGAAACATGTCAAGAATGTGTGTGGCTTAGATATTCATCATATGCAAGAAGAAGCGAGTGAAATAGTTACAAATAAAGATCCAAAAAAAGCGTTTGAAGATATTTCAGCTTGTGTTACTCAAGTCAAAGAAGGCTATATCGAAAGCGACAAAATGCGTATTTGTCCAAGGTTTTTTAATATATTTAAGAACTCGAGAAAAATCAAGAAGTGGACATCGAGTATATACGTTCATGTGCCAATCCATCTGATTTTTCATAAAGACACTTCTCACTACAATATTCCAAAACATGTTCCTTGTATTGGAATGCACCATTTGCATTACGTCACTATACTCATTTCCCTCGTCATGGTTTTTATCCCATCGGGTTTTTTTCATGATTAGATTCTTATAGAGACAGTACATAATACAAAATAGATAATCAAGATTGATTGTTAAAGATAAAGATTAATTTTAGATGATTAACCATAAAATAATTATTATATATTGTAATAAATATCTTATATTTGCAACCCTTGCATCCCTATATAAGGAGACTCACTCTTTGTTCATAGATGCACATGTGACAGAAAAAGGTCTCACTCTCTCTTACTTTGCCATTATTTTTTTTCATCAAATAGATATTCTATTACTCAAGGTTGAGGTAGCCTAGAGAACCAGACCAGGATAGTAGAACCAATGTAGTACAATTCCCTTTGAAAAGCTCTTCTTATCTTAACTAATGAATCTAAAGCAACATTTTCAACGTGAGGATGAAACACAATAAGAAAATCAGTAAATCTATTTTTCAGTCTTGACAACTCCTTTTCTTTGGTGGAAAGGTTTCATTGAGATTAGCTATTACAATTGGAGCCAACAACATTACACATCGATATTTGTAGCACTCACTCGATAGCCCAATAAAGCATCTCAAGTTTTGTATGTAAGGATGAAACTCTTGTTCTTTGGTTTATGGCTCACATAAGTTGTATTTCCCCATTGGAATTCTTCTATGTCCATCCACAATCACTAGGGGTCCAACTGGTGACTATAATTGAGTAGGAAGGAATACTATGTTCCTCTCAATTCCTGAATTTCTTTTATTATTTGTATGACATAGTTATTCCTCCATGTTTCTTTTCTCATGAGGAATAATCTTAATAATATTCAATATCAAATTAGATAAGGTACCAAAAAGAAAAATATAAAAATTGGTAAAAAAATATATTAATATGCTGATGTATAAAATAATTGTTTACTAAAATAACATTTTAATCTAATTTATGTAGGTGTATCTCCTTTTATATAATATATGTTCATCATTTTTTTCTCATATAACTCTAATACATCCAGAAACAAGAAAAAGAGGTAAACTATAATTTTAGGATTAGTTATTATATGTATAAAAACATACGCATTGATGGTTAGTAATAAAACTTGTATCATACGTTTATGTTGTAACGATCATGTCAACTCCAAGAAATAAAAGTGGAGCACGTCGTGGAAGCTTTTTTAGTTTGTTCTTTGTGTTGGTTACAATTTACTATAACGTTCCTTCTCTACCGTTTTTTTCTAATTTATTCAATATAATTCCATTGGGTTTTTTCCCTATAGTTCCTATCATTTTTAGAGTCGTAACCAATTAGACCCTAAGAGTGTGTCATATGTTGATGGACCATCAATCATACATTTTGTTAACGAACTCTACTTTTATTAATATGATAACATAGTATCTGAATACAATGTTGGTGTTAACCAAATTGGTGGATAAACTTTACAATTTTCAAAAATAGAATAAGTAGATCCTTGTAGCTATGAGCGGCTTGGTTACCAGTACACTTGAAAAATGTAAATGTTGTAGTAGGTAATAAGGTGCCAGCTTGATATATCTTCACTAATGTTTTTAAGGGTGGAATCACGTGAAAGGCCATTAATGAAGTTTACCAAGAATTTGGAATCCCCTTTAAATATCATATTTTGATATCCCACTATCCAAACGTTTTGCATTGCCACAAGTAAAGCTTTTGTCTCAGCAACTAGACTCGATTGGGCGAAACCTAGACTAGCTGATCCCCACATATAAGGTTGACCGTGACTGCATCGTAATTACATTCGAGAAAATCTAACTCTGGGAGTTTCCAGTTCATTGCAGGATGTGAAGATGATACTGCTCGTGAATTTTCATCTAAAAATGTGGTGAAGAAATATTTGATAACCATTCTCAAACATTCGTACAAGCATTCTCAACCATGAATTTATGAGTTAGTATTTTTTTTTCCAAGTAAAAGCTAGTTTCTCTTTTTCCAGATAGTTATTGCTCTGTCAAAAACAGATGCTGAATATATTTCAATGACTGAAGAAGCAAAAGAAACCGTGTGGCTCAAGGGGTTGAGTAAGGATTTTGGGTATGAACAAAAGAAGATTGAGGTGTTCAGTTACTCTCAAAGTGCTCTAGCATTAGCCAAGAATAAATATTTTCAAAACACTGGATATAACAAAGCTATACTTCCAAAACAACATATGAAAGTCTATTTTTTGTGTGACTTATTCAATAATTTGATCCATATCTATTCTGATCAGCACCTATTACTTGCTTCTTCTTTCTCTTTGTTAATTTATGGCTTTTCTTATGGCCAGGATCTATCTTTGTCAAGAATTACTAAACAAATATATGTGTGTGTGTGTTTTTCAGAAAATATATTCCGCCAAAATTTGCAAAATATGCTTTATATTCTTTGGTCTAGATTATAAATCATCCATTGTACTAATGTTAAATTATATTAGACAACTTATATATCTGATTATATTTTTAATTAATACTCATTTGATGTATGATCCATTGTAGATTCAAAGTAACAAAACAAATTCACTTTTAGTTTTGTAAAGATAATCATGAGTTAAATGAGATAATACTATCCAAAATTCATATATCTCTTTCAACAACGTAAAACATAATATCCAATTATTACAAAATGTTTTGAAGCAGTAAAAACTAATACAAAATACTTATATATAAAAGGCTAATATACTTTCAAAAAATTATTAATATCATTCATAATTATTATACTTGAATTTTTTTTTGAAACCACGAGTAATGTATATATATCAGCTCTACTTCTTCTTTGGTACTTTACGCCGTGACCTCATACTGGATCTCCTTTCCACATCCCACGCCTTCTGTGGCGCGTATATACCTAACTGAGACGCAAAGAAGGATTCATAACCTGGTGAATCAAATGCAAACCCAATGTGCTTTGAGAGCTACCGTGGCAATTGTGATATCGCATAGCTTCTCGTCTCTTGAGGTGTAAGCTTGTTCTCTATCTCCAGGTGATCCCCTTGCTTGCATCTGACTCATGCCTATCGATTTCTTGAACGATCTGATAATCATATGGGAAGAACCATCTCTCAACCCTGCATCAGTAAAAGCATAGTTGCTCTCATGTCATTATCAATAAAAAACATCCTGCTCACGTTTTGTTTCAGTGATCTTCAGAAAAATAACCACATGTCAGTCATTGCCAAAAAGGTATCTGAAACTGGATTAGTAAAAACAATGCTCAGTTTTTTCTTTCTCCAAACCACATTTTTGACATACATGATCCAAATTCTTTCCTCTCGAGTTCAATCTATTAGTTGTACCAATTACCTTGGATAGAATAGAACAGAGAAAGGCTGTAACTGGTACAAAAATTATGAATTGATGAAATGCAAATAAATGGAATGATAGAATGAAATACAGCAAAAAAAAAGGAATAGATTTCATTCTATTCGTTCATGAATAAAATTTTAGTGGAATATTTATGAATGTTTTTCTTTGTAAATTTTTAGAATTTTTGTGGAATTGATGGAATGAGTATTCCATTTCATTCCATTCATGTCAAATGGTGAATTTGTTTTTTTTTTTAATTGATGAAATAAGTCATTCCATTCCAAAAATCAATAATCTAGTTGCAGCCAAAATGTTTAAGTTTAGGCATTATATTTAATTTCCAAAAAAATTATATTTTATATTTAAATCCGGACGATCAGTCATACATATCTATCTAGTTATGGTTTGTCTTTAGCGTTACTTTCCTTTCCACAAAATGACAAATATATATTATAATAATAATATAATAAATAATTGGGTAATTCTGTCAAAAGAATTTAGAATAATTTTCTTCACCGAAATAACACATTAGAAGAAAATGACCAAAATATTTTTGGAGTAAAAATATAAAAAAACTCTTCTATCCTTAATTTATAGATAATAAATAATTATTTAATTAAATAAAATGATTTATAATTTTTAAATTATACATTTTTGAATTGGAATCTTTGTTATACTTATTCGCAAAAAATAGTTATTTTAGAAGGTTTTATTTTGAAATTTTAAAAATTCTTTTTGAAACTATTTTACATTTTTAAACACTTTAAATTATTTATTTATTTATTATTTAAAATCTTAAACTCCATTCTTCTCCAAACTCCACGCTTCAAATCTAAATCATAAGTTTTGATTAGTTAATCATAGAGGTATAAATGTTTATTTACCTCTTTTAATGAAATATTTTGGTTATTTTGATTATGATAAAAACCTTTTTAAAATCATTCTATTAAATTACTCTTAAATAATTATATAGGGCCCAATTATATACTAACACAAATATATAACTCACTACTATGTTGTTAGCCCAATGTTATTTGACCAAAGGTGGCCCAATAGAACAAGGGATGGCGTTTCTTTATAAAACTGGTTAAAATGGTAACAGCTTGATTCTCTGGGAAAGGGTAATGCCAAAGTCAAATAAAAATACCGAAAAAGAAGGGATTGAGATCAACGATGGTGCCGATTCTTCTTTCGATCTAACTCTGCTCAAAGAGGCTATCGACCATGTCCCAACGAAGAACAACTCATTCGATCTGACTTCAATGGCTCTTGCAATATCATCGGTGGATCGTAAGTGCAGCAAACGGAGACTTTCAGCGATGAAGAGAAATATCAAATCAACGGCTGAGAAGGAATCTACGATGCAGCGATTGCGAGCTCTTATAATGATTTGCGATAAATACTCTTGTAAAAGTTAATTAGCGTTTCGCAAATGATATGAAGATTGTCTGTTGGTTCTCTCATCATGATTCATAAAAACCCTTTAGCCTTGGCTTCGATACTGAGATTAGGATTGAGTGAAACTGATGTCGCAGTTGCGCTCCTCTCAACAAATCATCTGCGTAGATGTTCAATAGTTTCCTTGACATGTAGCATCATAAGTTGATATACCCCTTATTTAACAATCGATCCAGAGAGAGAAAAAAATTGTTTTAAGTTTCCAAATTACAGATTTGATATGTGTGGGGATGTATTTACATTTCCACAGTGTAGTTGCATGAATCAGTGCAATGCCACCTAACACATTAGAATTTGGATTAGCACTGTTTCTCTTACCCTCAGTAACTTGGACAGTTGTCAGTTGATCTCTCTCTTGCATCAAAATGCACACCTTTTAGACTCAATTGTGGTTCGACAAGTACTATATGCTAAGTGGAGGTTTTATGTTTTTGATCCAATTCTTGTATTTAGTAGATTAGAGTTTCATAATGTTTTCCTTGTACAACTCTTGAGACCGGTATGTATGGTGATCCTAGTATTCTCCATGCTTGTTTTGCCACATTGCAAGGGTTTTCAGAGTCTCTGAATCCAAACACCCTCCCCCCCCCCCCTCAACCCCCTTTTTTTAGCTGTTTTATATCTTATGCCTTTCTCTTGCATTTTGTTAGCGTTCTCAAAAAGGGATGAGCAGAACAACATCAGGTTGTATTTTGAATGGAAAGAACTTGAGGGCTGCGCCTGATTTAGTAGAAACTCCGTACAGAAAGATATCCCTGTATTGTAGTTTTCATTTTAAATTATTATTCAAATATAGTATGTGTAAAAGTCTCGTACAACAAAGGGCGTTTGGTCTAGTGGTATGATTCTCGCTTAGGGTGCGAGAGGTCCCGAGTTCAATTCTCGGAACGCCCCTTTTTGTTCTTACTATTATTTTCTTATTAATGGGCCTTTCCTCTATACGTCTGTCTATTTTGTTAACGCCCATTGTATAAAATACTCAGTCCAGAAGAATCTTTCTTGTATACAATTTTCCTCCTGCTGGATGCACACTTGCAAAAGAATCTTATGTACAAAATAGATAAATGTTTGTTCGTTGTTGGTGCATCAGCATCTTGTCACCTGTTAGGAAAATATTTTATTTATTAGTTCTTTCTTGTGAAATATATTTATTTATTAGTTCTTACGTTAAAGATTAATCTAGCCAGGATAACAAAAGATTTACTTAAATTAATCTCAGTTTCTTTTATATCTGGAAATAAACCAGTAGAAACAAACATGGTTCCCATAAACGTTGGTGGGTCTCTTGTGGGAATACATGATGACTACTACCACATTCTAAATTAAATTACTTCTCTTTAAAAATGGAATATATTTTCATTTTTGTCTTGAATATAAATATTTAATTTAAGTTAAGAACTTATCAATGTACAGCCTTCTCCTGAAAAAATATAATAGTAGGAAATTATATGTATCGACAATAATCCCCTTTCACGTTCTGTTAAGTGTTAAGACTAAAGAGGAAGAAACCGTGTTTGCTTGACTTACTCATCAGCTTATGTGTAAACAACATTGTCGATATAGTTTCCTTTCTTCTGCTTGTAATAAAATAGTATCTTGCCGAATCTTAGTCATTATCTTTTTGAGTTTTTTTATTGTAGATATGTGACAGAGGTCTCAGTCTAGAGCTACAAGAAATTTGAGTCTATGTAACGTTTTCTCCATATCAATTTTAGTAAGAACTTGTGTTTTCAGTACGCACAAGAAAAAGGAATGAGTGGAATCAAATGTGGATCCTAGAAAACAGGAAAGATGGAAATACAAATCTACTCATTTTGGAAAACAAACAGTATCGTTGTTAACCCGATCTGAACATATCTGGTCATGTTCTCATCAAGATATTTGCACTGATGTTGGTGCTTCTAGGACATATTTCCTTTTTTAAGATAAAAGAAGATCGTTACAAATTTACACTTTTTCCATATATTTTTGTTTTCTTCCAAATTATGATACTGAATTTTGTATCCGGCCATGACCCACCTTCGGGTATGCGTCCGCGCCGGTTAAAGGGTTCGGTCACTATGGTGAGGCCAGGACACTCGGTTATCAAAAAAAACTGAATTACTTATTCATGTATTCTTAATATTCTTTTTCTGCTGATCCATAATAAAGCAATTGAGTTTGAAGTTATATAAGTTGCAATTAAGTAAATAAATGAAAATTACACTAAAAATATTTAAAATTACGTCCCAGCAGTTTTTATAAATAGAGGATTTACGTAACCATTCCTTGCGCACGTTATAGAATCTTAGTTGGTATATATTGAAAAGAAATCTATTTTGATGTTTTGAGATAACAATAGAAAAAAAAAAGAGAATAACTGTATCAAAGTTGTGGAGCTGTCACGACAAAAGGAAAATATTGAGATTTATCAATACATTCTCAAAAGAACATTATATTTATATTTTAAATATAATTATAAATTAATACCAATATTTTACTAATTTTTATCTCTTTTTTTTTTTTTGAAAGAATCACATGAAAAATATTTTATTGAAATGATAGAAATGTCTCAATTGTTTTTTGAAATAATTAATAATATATTAACATTAATTTAGATATACATTGAAATATTCGAGAGATTATCAAGCTTTAACTTACCCAAATGTTTAAAAGAAATTGTGGTTGGAAAGATGGTGAAAATTGACAAAGAAAAGGAAAGATGGTGAAAATCGACAAGTTTAAAAGGCAAGCGAGGGAGGAGTCTTGTTTAAAAGGCAAGTACCAACCTTTACCGTCTACTTCATTGCCTTTTTTTTCTTTCTGCCGCCAAATATTTCTTTCCTTTTTAACAAAAGCTTCTCTCACCTATTTCTTCTGATCCCTGCCAGAAACTATTTTTCTCTTCCAAAAACCATCATGCCTTCCGTTCAAACACGTTCCTCTTCACCACAGACAACGGTTACTACTGATCTCAAGCAGCGAGTCATCACCTGTCTCAACCGCCTCTCCGACCGCGACACTCAATCTCTCGCCGCGTCGGAACTCGATTCCATCGCTCTTAACCTCTCACCTGAGAGTTTCCCTCTCTTCATAAACTGTCTCCAAACCACAGACTCCTCCGCCAAACCTCCCGTTAGAAAACACTGCGTCTCCCTCCTCTCCGTCCTCTCGCGCTCCCATGGAGACTCCCTCGCTCCTCACCTCCCTAAGATGGTCTCCATCCTCCTCCGCCGTCTCCGCGATCCTGACTCCACCGTCCGCGCCGCCTGCGCAACAGCTTCCGTTGATATGACCACCAACATCACCGAGCCGCCTTTCTCCGCAATCTCCGGACCTCTGATCGAGACGTTAATCCACGACTGCGATCACAACGCGCAGATCGGAGCCGCCGTGTGTCTTGCGGCGGCGGTTGAGGCGGCGGGTGAGCCTGAGGTTGAGCAGCTGCAGAGAGCGCTTCCGAAGATGGGGAAGTTGCTTAAGTCGGAAGGTTTCAAGGCGAAACCGGAGCTTTTGGTAGCAATAGGGAGCGTTGTCGCCGCAGTTGGTGGTGGAAACAGCGACAAGGCGGTGCTTGATTGGCTTGTACCTAACGTATTGGAGTTTCTAAGCAATGACGATTGGCATGCGAGAAGAGCTGCTGCAGAGGCTATAGGTAGAGTAGCTATGGCTGAAGAAGAGTTGGCTCCCTTGTATAAGAAGGCATGTGTGGATGTGCTTGAGAGCAGAAGGTTTGATAAGGTTAAACTCGTTAGAGAGACTATGACTCATACATTGAGTTTATGGAAGCACCTTGGATATGACTCTCAAGAGTCTTCTTCTTCGGGGAAAAGAAGCAAAGACAAGAATACAAACGTAACCATAAGCTCAAAGTTGAATCATGTTGAAGAGAAAGATAGCAATGAAGCTAAGGAGAAGCGTAATCTTTCGCCATTGAGAGCTAAGAAGGTTTTGTTTCCGGCCAAGCCAAAGCCGTGCAAGGTCAAAGAGAATATATCTAACAAGTCACAAGTTGTTCAGACTAGTGATGAAGAAGAGAGTAGTCATGAAGGAAGTAGTTCTTCTCAGAGAAAGAATGCAGAAGAAGAGTTGACTCTGATAAGAAACCAGATTACTAGGATCGAAAAACAACAGTCTAGTCTCTTGGATCTCTTTCAGCGATTCATGGAGAGCTCACAGAACGAAATGCATTCTCTGGGGAGACGAGTGCGTTGTCTCGAGACATCTTTCAGTGTACTCTCCACTGATTTGTTAGTTTCTCGCAACATAACACAAACTGGCAACCACAAACGAAATGCCCATTTACAGAAATGAAGAAAAAGGTTCCAAAAGCTCATTTTATAACTGAGAACACACTTCAAACTTGAGCTCGTGAAGAAGACTTTATTGGTTTATCTTGTGTTTACTACATACATGAACTCTAATCTGATCTCTAAGTGTTTACTTTATCATTTCTTTATTTTTCTACATTTCCACTTTATGTAACCACATAATCACGCAATGAAAAGTTCTTTTACATTGTTTTCGACTTTGTATTACCTTTACTGATCTTTTTCTTGGGAAATCTCAGCCGAATTAATAAAACATCTACCCAATGTGGCATCTAGCTTCTCTCCAATTGAAGAAATCCATGCCTAAACATGATGATCAAAACCAACTCTTTTTACTTGTACTATTAGTCTACAAACAATATAAAGAAGTGAAAGTTTTCCTTACCTGGTCTGAAGACGTGAACCCTCTGACAGTGTTTCCACCGATAACAGCGAGTCCTTTATCACCAAGAGGCTGCAAAATCACTGCCTAACAAAGAGAAAAACCAATATATCTTCTTGTCACACAGTTTCACTATTCCCACAATCTATTAAAGTATAATACTCAACAGACCTGTGTATTTGCAGGCAGAAATGGCAGCTCTGATCTCCCAGGATAAAGAGAAAGATTGGCCAAGTAACTTTCTGACAACACAAATCCGTTTTTTTTCTTAGACAGTTGCATATACCTCCCAGAAATATAAACCAAATGTTTGGTTACTCCTTACGTGCTTTTGATTTCATTACCCCTTGATAAACTGATCCTTCCATCAGCTTATCAGTGTTTACAATGACTGCTTTGTTGCTATCTTCCGGAGATTCAGCAGCCATCCCAATTTGAACTAGACAAATCCCATTGTAGACAATAACCAGAGACTTACAACATGTTGCTGCCTTAAGAGATTCCCAAGCCCTGAGAATATATATATCAAATCTCCGATTCGGTTACTATTATCTTTCCCTAAAGTAGAGACACAAAAAGCAGAGCATTACCATAACAACTCGGAGACTAGTGATGGAGGAAGATGGGATTCTAAAACATTGCAATCCAAACCTTCAGGTTCTACTGGAGTAATGGACTTAGGTCGGATCGATAACCAGACTAAACCGGTCAATAAATTGGTTACAGCCAAACCAAGCGCCAATAGATCTGCTCTAGACTGTGAGCTATACGGAAACCCACAACAAGATTCTCAACTTGATCACATCAAAAACAGGAAAAGAAGTGTCTTTGGTTTTTAACTAACCTACTAGCGTCAGCAACCGGAGCGATGCCGGAAACGGCCCGATTGAAAAGAACGGCCAAGAGGGAAGCGCCTCCGACGTAGATGGGCAAGCTCCGAACCGAGTCGTCGTTCCTGGAGACGAAATCAGCCACCAGGTTCTTGCTCGGTTTCGGACCTCTGTAGCTTTTCGGCTCCTGCTGACCCCAAAAAAACCAGAAAATGAGAGAGAAGAAGTGTGAGACAGCAAAAGGAAGAAGGAGAGAACCTGTGAGGTTGAAGAAGACGCTCTGATATAGCGCGGGGGAACTAGGGGAGGACGAGAGAATCTGTGATTAGGGTTCGCCGGGACTTGAATTTGGGTGATGAATCTCACTTCCATTGCAGAGAGACGAACAAGCGAGTGAGGCTAGAGATGCATATTTTGGCCGTTACGAGCGAAAAACATATCTTCATACGGTGACGTTTACCGAATCGAATTGAGTCGGAAAGAACCAACTTTAACCAAAATCATCAATACATTGTAGAAACTAGAAAACCGGAACATAATCGATATAACAAAAGCGAAGTTAAGGATAGACAATTTTAAAGACGAATGATAGAATATGGAGTCGAGATATAATCTTTTTCTTATCGAGTCCAAACTGTACGAATATCAGAACATTGAATCCTAAGATACAACTATGGCGATGATTTATACTTCACTCATAAAACATTCTAATGTATTAAAATCCTACACTATTAAAAGTCGCTAATGAAGCACTCTTACCACGTCCACGTCAGTAATTATATTCAGTCAATAGGACATGTGTTTTTTTCCATGTGGATATGAATATTTTAGTGCTAGATTTTTGATTGTGGTATTTGATCAGACAAAAAGCCATGTTTGTGGCTCATTTGGTGGATTTGTTTGGAAACCCTAAGAACTGAATAATCTTTCTCTTTGTCTTCACGGTTACAAGTATTAGATCAATAAATTTTGATTCCTAAAAATGTCGCTTTCTCTATCCTGGCGACCAAAAAGCGATTAGGGTTTTTCCGAGTCGCGCCGTCCATTGACCTCACGTCGGTGGCCGAGAAAATGTCCGCCGCTCCTCAGCCTCTTGGTTCGTCGAGTCCCTCCGGCGATTCTCCTCTGGGTGTTCTGGACAGGGGGAAAATCTCAGGAAAAGAAGTTCGATTGACAAACTCGATTCTAGATTCAAAGCTTCAATCTCCCTCAATCCAGGGATCGATTCCAGCAGCCTCGGTAACTTCCTATGCCGAAAGATTCAAGTCGTCTCTCAGAAACCTACGAAAGATCTCGAACCCTACCTTCCTTGAAGACGGGACTCCGGTGGTCCAGGCGCCGCCATATGTACTCCTGAAGACTGTTGAGCTCTGGAAGGATCATATTGTCGCTCATTTTCACGGGACTATCCCTCTGCCGGGAAAGATTTTTGCGGATTTGAATCCGGTGTGGGGAAAGCATGGAGACATTACCATTAGAATGGTATCAAAGACCTTTTGTTTGATCTATGTCCCGAATGTACATTCAAGAGAGTGGGTATTACAGGTGGGTTATTGGCAAGTCGATCATTGTGCGGTGTCGGTCTTTCCTTGGACTGCAGAAGGATCCTTACAGAATTTGGAACTCCGGTTCGCACCAACGTGGGTGGTCCTTAAGAACATGCCGCCGCAGCTATACTCCTTGGATGACATATGTGTGGTTGCGAGTGCTATCGGAGAACCGTTACATACAGAGAAGTCAAGGTTGGACCCATATCATTTTAGGGATACGAAGGTAAAAGTAGAGATTGATTTGGCAGTAACCCCTCTAGATATGGTAGAGGTGAGAGATTCAGATAACAACTCAGTTAGAATCAAAGTCGAATATCCCAAACTTCCACCCAAATGCTGTAATTGTGGGAAGTTTGGGCACTTGATGAACCGCTGCCCTAAGCTTATAGTGAGGAAGAAACAGAAGATGAAAACCCAGGAGAAAGAGATGGTTAAAGTGGCTACTGCTACTTCTTCAGTTTCTGTTTCGGGTGATATCCTAGTGGAGAAGGAAGGAGTTGAAGGGAGTTTTCAGACGGCTGGGGTCTCTTCAAAATCTCAGAGAAGAGCTCGCTCCAGGTCTAGAGCAAAGGCTCGTCGAAGAAGTCTTAGGGGGGCTTATTAGAATGATGATTTGGTAGAATTTCATTTTTTTCTCAAATTTCACCTTATTGGATCTAGTATTTATAAAACTTATCTTAAATCCTAGCTTATTGAACTTATCATTTGCACAAACTCTATCAAATCCTCCCTTATTGGAAAATAAGTATTTCATCAAATCAAACATTTCAGGAATTATTTGGAATTATCTAAAAAAGATTTGTAGTTAAAATTTCACGGACATGAATTCCATCTCTTGAGATGGTATTTGAAAAACTGATCAAAAAAGTTTTTATTTTTCTTCACTGAACCTTCGACAAAAACCAGAACGTTAACTAGCTTTACTGAATAAAAGAGCAAGTCATGTTCTCAATCTAACCCATTGCATCTCCTCTGGATTCTCCTAGCTTTATTGGTGTAGTTGGAACTAGGGCAAGTCATTTTGTGTTTTCTTTTAAAATTAGAGAGCTTCAATGAACGTCACATTTTGCGTTCATAGATAGTCAGGTGGTTCAGAAAAACCCTACCAAATGACCCATGTAAATTCTCACCAAAATCTTCAATTCCCAAACAAAATCTCCAAATTCCATCTAAATTTCACTAAATCTAAAATTCCCTAGATTTACTCAAACTCCTAATTCAATAAGCCTCCTTAGTCTTTCACAGTTATCGTTAGATGGTGACAGGGAATACACCAGTGAAGGAGAAGAGATTGTAGGGGATAAGAATTTGGAGGGTCTGGTTCCAAAGCTCGATAACAGTGAGGAAGACAAGGTTTTGAAAGATCAGAGTGATACTATGAGTAATTTGAAGGGAGTTAATAATAGGGAGTCAAGTTCGGAAGACCAGGGTGAAGAGCATCTTTGGTTGAGGCCGAAAGCAGCAAGACGTGCCCAGAAACAGAAGGATAGGATGGCTTCTTGGAACGCTTCGGGAGGTCAGATGTTGATAAACATGAGTACTCAGTTTTCAAACCGAGGGGGTACCTCGGGGAGAAAACTTAATCTTTGAGTTTGCGGTTGAGATCTACCCCCAAGTTTAGTTATTTATGAAGGTGTTCAGTTGGAATGTAAGGGGGCTAAGCAGTTTTGATCGTCAAAGGGTTGTTAAGAGTTGGGTTCAGAGTAATCGTTTTTCTGTTGGGGCATTTGTAGAAACACACGTTCGGGAGGAGAATGCTGCAACAGTTGTTGAGGCAGTAGTACCAGGGTGGAGGTATGAAACAAATTATTCGCGGTCAGAAGGAGGTCGTATTTGGGTGGTGCGGGATCCTTTATTGTCAGTGGTGGTCTACAGTAAGACGGATCAGATGACGGTCTGTGGCGTATATGAACCGGAAACTGATTTATATTTCACTCTGATTTTTGTCTATGCGTATAATACAGAAATCCAAAGAAGAAGTCTTTGGGAGGAGTTGATATCAGTTTCGAGTAATAGTTTGGTTAGGGACGCTCCTCTGCTGGTGATGGGAGATTTCAATCAGATTAGAGTTGCGTCAGAACATTTCTCTACTGCTTCATATCCGCTTCCAGTTAGCGGGATGAGGGAGTTTCAGGAGTGCTTGGTTGATAGCGGTCTGGATGACTTGGAAACTCGAGGAGTATTTTTTTCTTGGTCAAATGGGAGACCTGAAGATCCTATTCTTAGAAAATTGGATAGAGCTTTGGGGAATGATAATTGGAGGCAATGCTTCCCGGAGGTTGTGGCGGTGTTCGAAGTGCCAGGAGATTCGGACCATGCGCCGTGTATAGTGAATTTTGCGGTAGAGCCAGAGATAAGAAAGACAAGCTTTAAATACTTCTCTTTCTTATCAACTCACCCAAGGTTTATAGGGGAGATTCAAAGTGCTTGGGATGAGAGTATCCTTGTCGGTTCTAAGATGTTTTCTTTGAAGCAGAGATTGAAAGCAGTTAAGAAAGCTTGTAGAGAGATAAATAGGGAGGGATTCGCCAACATCCAACAAAGAGCAAAAGAGGCTATAATGAATCTAAAGAGTGTGCAGGAACGTCTATTGACTGCGCCCACAGATTCTCTCTTCCGAGAAGAGTTTGTGGCAAGGAAGAATTGGAAGTTTTTTGAGGCGGCACTAAATATTTTCTTCATACGGAAATCTCGAGTTCGATGGCTAAAGGATGGGGATGCGAACACTAAGTTCTTCTATAACTCGGTTGTCGCTCATCAGGCAAGAAATGCAATTCGATACCTGGTGGATGAGTATGGAGTGAGAATTACAAATAAAGCTCAGATCAAAGATATGGTGGTTTCTTATTTTCAGAACTTGCTTGGGTCTGTTAATGGAGAGAGTGCCGTTGTCTGTGGTTGAGTTACAAAACTTGGTAGGTTTTCGGTGTTCCGAGACTGTCAAGGCTGAGATGTGCCGGATTCCTTCTGAGGAGGACATAAAAGATATGTTTTTCTCGTTGCCTAAGAGTAAGGCGCCAGGACCCGACGGTTTCCCTGCGGAGTTCTTCTGGGAGGCGTGGAGTGTGGTAGGAAGTGGATCAGTGGAGGCGGTTCAGGAGTTCTTCTCGGTGGGGCGTTTGCTTAAAGGTTTTAACGAAACTGCAATTGCGCTCATACCAAAAGTAGTGGGGGCGGATAAGCTAACTCTGTTCAGACCGGTTTCACTTTGTTCCACTATTTATAAGGTCATTGCAAGACTTATTAAACAGAAACTCCAGCTCGTGGTTGATGGAATTGTGCAAAGAAACCAAGTGGGATTTGTAAAAAAAGCGACTTCTTTGTGAGAATGTGTTGCTTGCGTCTGAACTAGTAACTGATTTTCACAAAGAAGGAGAGACGAATAGGGGCTGTTTGAAGATTGATCTTTCGAAGGCATATGATAATCTTCATTGGGACTTTATCCTCAATCTGCTTAAGGCCTTTGATATGCCAGTTTCGGTCATTGGCTGGATAAGAGAATGTATATCAACTCCTTATTATTCATGATTGTTAATGGCGAGATGAATGGTCATTTTGCAGGAAAGAAAGGTCTGCAGGGAGACCCGATTTCTTCACTCTTATTTGTTATGGCAATGGATGTTCTGTCGAAAATGTTGGATAAAGGAGCCGAGAATCAGGTTTTCAAACCACATCCCTCGTGTGAGGAGCCTCTTATTACACATCTAAGCTTCGCCGACGATGTGTTAATTTTCTTTGATGGCTCTGAGGAGTCCCTAGCTGGTATTTTGGGGATATTGGAGGAGTTTAGGACTGTTTCGGGCTTAAAAATTAATAAGAATAAGACTGAGTTGCTGATTGACGGGGGATGTTC